GCAGCGTGGACTTGGCCCAGTTCAGCGAGAACACGCCACTGTACCCGATCTGCCGTGCCTGGATGCGAAACAGCCCCTCTGTGCGCGAGCGCGAATGCTCTCCCAGCTCACCCCTGCCCCCGCTGCCTGAGGATGAGGAGGTGGGATGGGTAGTGGACCCCAGCCCAGCAGCCTGGTGCCAGGGCAGTGGGTGGATAGGCTTAAAGGATCCTGCCCCTAAGCTAGAGGGGTAGACAGACACAGGTCCCTCACATGAATCCTGGATCCGGCCAGGCACACAGATGTGCACCCTTAGGCTGGGGTGTGGATCGAGGTCCCTAGGGAAGACATACATAGCCACCTGGCCTGGGGGACAGGGAACAGGGTTACCCTGGGCAGTTAGATGTGGATCTCCAAGATCAGGGGTTCCCAAGAGCCGAGGGGCTAGACAAGGGTCCTTAGTACAGACAGAAGTGGCCACCAGGCCTTGAGGAGCAGATGGGCTGGGCAGGAACGGATGGGGGTCTATAAGCCATCTGGCCCAGGAGGGTAGACAAGGGTCCCCAGGACAGACATATAGGACCCTTCACGCTGTCAAAAATGGACAGAGCTTCCTAGGTGGCACAGATGTGACCCCGTGGACAGGATTCCCTGAGGCAGGCAGACGTGACTCCCTGGGCTGACAGGTGTAGATGGAGTTTCTGGGCTGGATAGGAGAAGACAGGGGTCCCTGGGGCAGGCGGACTTGACCCCCTGGCTGGTTGAGGTGTCTGCCCTTCAGACATGCCTCCTGTCTGAGTCCCTTAGTGAGCCCCTCATGCCATTTGTTGCTGGGAAAGGCAGGAGGGATGAATGTGGATTCCCAGCCCCTCTGCTTTGACTCTCTTGGGCCTGGCTTGGGGCCCTTGTGTCCCCAGGGCTCAGAGGTCAACAACAGCAAGAGTCGTGATGTGTACAAGCTGCCGCCACCCACACCCCCCGGGCCACCTGGAGATGCCTGCAGATCCCGCATCCCATCCCCACTGCAGCCTGAGATGCAGGGCACCCCTGATGATGAGGTGAGTATGCCAGGCTGGCCCAGGGTTATGGGACACATGTGGTGGGGCTCAGGAATGTCTACTCAACCTGGCCTCTCTGTCCATGCAGCCCTCTGAGCCCGAGCCCTCACCCTCCACACTCATCTATCGCAACATGCAGCGCTGGAAACGCATCCGCCAGAGGTGAGCGTCCCCCAACCTGCTTGCCCCTCCTAGGGCCTTTTGCAACTGCTGAGTCTTCCCTCTGCCTCCCCAGGTGGAAGGAGGCCTCTCATCGGAACCAGCTTCGTTACTCAGAAAGCATGAAGATCCTACGAGAGATGTACGAACGACAGTGATGTTCCCAGGTCCCCCCACCCCAGTAAACATCCCCCAACTCCACACTGGTGTCTGCTCCGGTCCATCCTTCCTGGCCCAGACACAAAGCAGTTGGCAGAGCTCTAGCACATTTATTGGGGGAGTGAGCCTGGGAAAGAGTAAGGGAGTGGTGGCAGGGAGAAAGGCTGTAGGGAATCAGAGCCGGTGCTCAGCTGGGTCTTGAAGGAGAAGAGGAGGAGGGTGAGAGGTGGGTTGCCGAGGATTATCTGGTTGAAGAAGACTTGGGGGTCAAGACAAAGGGACTTAGGGGGACGGGGTCTGGTTAGAGTTAGGGAGGGGGCCTAGGACATTCGTGCAGAGTCTGGGGAGGTTTGGGTGGGAGAGTCTGTACAGTTTGGGGTTGGGTGTTCTGGTTGGCCTGGGATAGGTGTCCAAGAATTAGGGTGGTCAGAAGAGGGTTCCAGAGTCTGGTGTGGCTGGCTGGGGTTTCACAGCAGAAAATGGGCTGGAGCGGGGCAGTTGTGGACTGTCTGGTCGTAGGGGAAGGATCAGGTCTTGGGAACCAGGCCTGGATGGTCTGGAGTGGGAAGTCTGTGCAGTCCAGGACATTTGGGAGGTGGGGGGATTGTGCCTGACAGGCCTGGGGTTGGGGGAGGGCTGTCTACACCATAATTTGGTGTCAAAATAGGGAAGGGATGGAAATGTAGTACCCAGATATCTTCGTAGAGGACTCAGAAGGAAGTAGAGAAGGGGTCTTAAGTGGGGCTATATGCCAAGAAAGTGGGTCGGTGGGGCTGAGACTGTTGGCTGAGGGTTAGGGTAGTGCTGGTAGGGTCTGGAAGCCGGCGAGGTGTCGGTGTGGGGTCCGAAAGCTGGAGGAGGTGTGAGAGCGAGGGTGTCAGTGTAAGGGTCTAGGTTATCAAGGCAGTGTCCAGGGTGGAGGTCAGGGCAGAATCCAGGAGTGGGTGAGAGGACAGTTCTTGGCGCGCTCGGGACATCTGGCTGGGCGGAGTCAGATCGGCTTCAATAGAGGGAGCCTGAGGACGCTCCCGGGGTGCGGGCGTGGCCCAGCCCCCTACTTGGCTGCGGCTGGCGGTGGGGCCTGGGTCGACGCTGGTGCGGCCTGGATGGACAGGACGCCCTCGGGGGACAGCGCAGACGTCACGGCAGCCGGATCCACGCCAGGCGGCAGGCGGTAGCGGCGGTGGAACTCGCGCGCGACGAATCCGTGCTCATCCTGGAGGGGAGGGAGGCTTGAGCGGCCCCGCCCCTCTGGCCCTGCTGCGCGCGTACTCGCTCCAACCCCGCCCCCGCCGCGGCTCACCGGGCGTTCCTCGTGGCGCGCGTGCACCTCCACGTGTTCGCCCACCACCTTGACAGCAATTTCCTCCGGCGAGAAGTGCTTCACGTCCAGCAGCACCGAGAAGTGGCCGGGGTCTGTCGGCACCTGCGCGCAGCGGGCGCGGGCGGGACTGTTACCCGGCCGGGCCAGGCTCGCGGGACCCACCCAGGGAGACCCCACCCCCGTCGGTTCCGTGCCGCGGCTCACTCTGGCCTCCGGAGCTGAGCAGTCCGCTTTCCTACTGGGAGTCACCCAGTACCTCTTCACCCTGAATAACGAGGATTCGCCCTCCCCCTGTAATATCTGGGGTTGCCCTCTTCCCTGCAGTGATAAGGCTCCCTTCCCCTGCAAGGTCAGGAACCTGTGCCCTCCCCTGGTGTCAGCGAATCCGAAGTCATCGTGCCCCCCAGGGCACTGATTCCCCAGCTCCCTCCTCAGAGCCCCGGGTCCCTTCTCCCCCAGTCCCACCAAAGTCGCCGAGATGACCCTTCCCCCGTCTCCAGGATCCTCTGCTTACTCTCCCAGTCGAGTCACGGGACCTCAGCACCTACTGGTAGCCTTCCCCCACTTCATAGTGGCCAGGAACCCTTCCTCAAGTCGCAGGGCCCTCCCCTCCTCTTCTGGAGATACCGGGCCACTGCACACAGTCTCTCAACTCTTCCCTGAGACTAAGAACATTCCTTCCCCTTGGGAGTCACTGCCCGCCTCCTTTTCCCCAGATTTCCCGTGTCACCAGCCTCCTTCAGAGTAAGCAAGACTCCCCTTAGAGTGACCCAGGCCTTCTATTCTCTGGAGCTGAGACCCCCCGCCACACACACACACACACCCCTAAGAGCGACTGGGACCTCCCCCCCGCTGCAGTGAGCCGGCCTCTGAGATTCCCCAGGAACTCCGGAAGCCCTTCGGAGCTGCGGACTCTCCACCCCGCCCAAGGCCAAGGAACATTCTCTCACACGTTCCTACCCCAGGCTGCCCCAGACCCCTGGCATTGGAAGTGGTCGAGTTCGCCCCCTCCCCAGGCCTGGCACCTGGGCGACGGGCAGCGCCACGCTGGGTGCGCGCAGGTAGTAGGGGGCGAGGGTGGTGGGGCAGAGCGCAGCCAGCTCGGCCTCCAGCAGCCCCTCGCCGAAGCGCTGGTCAAAGAGGCGTCCGGGCGCCGAAAGTCCGGGCAACGGGGCCGAGGCACGGCGCAGCCAAGACGGCTGCACAGGCACCGGGATCTCCATCCTGCTCCTCCGCGTTGCAGTGCTCCTGCGTGCGCAGCCGCCGATTTATAGTTCGCCCTGTGCCGGCCCCTCGGAGGGCTGCCCAGGGACACTGGGACCGTGGCCAGACCCGGCCATTAGGAGAGCCTTATTTAGAAACCCAAACAATGACTTGGCCATTTATTAAGCGCTTGCTGGATGCCTGGCAAATGCTGTCAAGAAGATGTCATGAAGATTCCCCAATTTCCAGAAGGGGAAACTAAGGCTGAGGCAGCGGAGCCTTGCGGGTGTGGGGAGCACAGCGCGGTGATTGGGGCCCAGAGCCCAAGAGGCCCACAGAAGAGTTTCCAGTCCCTTTAATCCATTGCCTCCCCGCTGGCAGGTCTGAGGATGACGCAGATGGAGGTCTTAGGAGCAGATTCCTGGGGAATGCGGTAGCCCGGCCAGGATGTCAGGAGGACATAGAACAGGCCCTCCCTACCCTCATCCTCAGCCGGGCCTTGGGCCCAGTCCCCCGGCAGGCCGGGCCTAATTCTGTGCCTCTGACTCAGCCTCTGGTGTGCACCGGCCAGGGGGCGCGAACATGAACAGTTCAGGCTGGCCCCCGGGGGGCCGCGCGCTGGGGCTCGAAATAGCTCATTTTGATCCCGCTACCTCGGCCAGGAGCCCAGACCTGGCAACTGATGCAACCAGCTGCTCCTGCAGCAAGAAGTAAGTGGTTAGATGACCACCAGGACGGTCTGATTGGCCCAACTGATGGGGGAATAGCTGTTAGAGAGGGAACACAGCGCCCCCCGCCCCCACGCCATTGCCCCTGCAACAGAAAGAATGGTAGTTAGACCGGAGTCGGGACAGGACTTCTGCAGCAAGAAGGCGCTTAAAAACCTGGACTTTTAAGCGAGGGTACTTTAGATCACCTCCTAACCTCAGGCCCAGCCTCAGATCCTTCCCATTGGTGCACGATCTTGCCAATTACTGCTACACGCGGCAGGTTCTCCAATCAAACGCGCCCTGTCGGGCAGGCAGTCGTCCCAGCCAATCGTAAAGCACCTCCCTCCGGTACTTTTGTTTCCTCTCTTTCATTGGTCGCCTTGGAGGCCGCTCACCGCCTGCGCGGGCACAGAGAGGGGCGGGGCTGACAGGGCGTTGCTAAGCGACGGAGATGCGAGCGGGGCCTGTTTGGTGAAGGAGCAGAGCGGACGGAAGCGCGGAGGGAGCCGCGGGATGGATCCCAGGTGAGGCCGATCGCTCTTCCAGGGAATACAGGAGGCTGGGGAGGACCAAGGGCGAGAGCAGCACAGCCTGGGGACGGGCGGGATAGGGTCTGTAGTCGCTAGGGCTCCACCGCACTGGAACTACAACTCCCAATATGCTCCACAGCCGTTGGCTGCTCCAGCCGTAGCCTTCAGCATTCCGGGGGTCCCCGAAGAGTCTTATGTTCCTTTCTGAGTGGCCCCAAGGGATTATTTCCGCTAAAGGTGTCCAAGGAAGGCTTGAGATCTGAATTTCTTAATTTTGAAATGGCCCCCAGACACGCCTGGGCGTTGTCTTTGAACTTTCTCGGGGAGGCGGAGCCCAGTGGATCCTGGGGCTTGTAGTCCATCTACCCTTTGCCTTCGTGTCCCCAAGAATTTATGGGAAATGCTCGGTGATAAAGTCCAGCCGTGTTTTTTTTTTTTTTTTTTTTTTTTTTTTTTTTTTTTTTTTTGAGACAGAGTCTCTCGCTCTGTTGGCCCAGACTGGAGTGCAGTGGCACAATCTTGGCTCACTGCAACCTCTGCCCCCTGGGTTAAAGCCATTCTCATGCCTCAGCCTCCCAAGTAGCTGGAGCTACAGGCTCCCGCCACCACGCCTGGCTAATTTTTTATATTTTTAGTAGAGACGGGATTTCGCCATGTTGGTAAGGCTGGTCTCGAACTCCTGACCTCAAGTGATCCACAGGCCTCGGCCTCCCAAAGTGCTGGGATTGCAGGCCTGAACCACCACGCCCGGCGAGCCCCGGTTCTTAACCTGAGCTCCACTTCACAATCATCTGGGACGCTGCGAAAAGGACACGGAGGCCCAGCCCCACTAATAGATGTCCTGATTCTGTTGGTCTGGAATGGGAACCGCGCGTCTGTAACGTTGAAAAGCCCCTCCTAGACTGGATCCAGGGTTGAGAACTACCGGCTACTAGTTCCTGAGTTGCTCCCTATTAAGACTGCTCCAGGGGCGGGCTTCCAGGACTCACCCTTCCACTGTCGCTATCCTGAGTGTGCAGCGGTGCTTCATGGAAATGACAGCCCCTCTCCTCCAGGAATCTATGGCAATTGTCCGGTTCTGCCCTCCTCTAATGTCCCCCTCCCCAGGGCTGCAGCAAAATCACATGCTGCCTGAACTCCACTTTCCTCTTGCAGCCTGCCAGTTTTCTCCATTCAAGATAGTCCCTTTGGAGATGCGCCCCTGGGTCGAAGCCACTACTGGCCATCCCGGAGCCAGACCTGGTGTCCCAAGGTGAGGACCCCCCTCAAAGAGTGCTGAGTGCCGGCCCAGTAGCAAGAGAATGACCTCTAGAGGGTAGGAAGACATGTGACCTTCTCCCCTCCCCATGGCCCTGCCCTTGTCCCCCTCTCTACCACCTAGATTCCTCATCCGAGCCCCCATCACACTAGGTTGTTATCATTACAGGATGTGTTTCTTCCTCTCTGGACTAAGACTTCGTGTGTGTCTTGGTTCCCCTGCAGGGATGACCCATCAGGCCTCATACTTTTTCTTTTTGTGCTTTTCCCCCATCTTAGACCCTGAGCCCATCCAGGTCTCAGAGATCCAGGCTCCCACAAGTTCCCAAGGCTCTAGCCACAGGTCCCAACTCCCCTGAGCTGTTTGAGGAGTCCTGGCCATCCAGTTCAGGGACGCCTTCCCCGCCCAGCACCACTGAGGGACAGATGGGGGCCTCCCCAGCACCCACCCTGATTGACAGCGGGGACTCCGTGGTGGCCAAGTAAGTACCAGCGGCCCTGGGGGAAAAGGAGGCTTTGGGTTAGAGGGAGGGAGAAGGCATGCAGTAATAATCATCATCAATAATCAAAAACCAGAGCTGTTTCTGCAGCACTCTTTTAGAACCAGGCACTTTGTGTGTGTTAAGAACTCTGGCGCTAGACCGCCTGAGTTCAAATCCCAGCTCTGTCATTTAACTCTATGTATGATCTTGGCCTCAGTTTCTTTATCTCTTTTCATTTATTTATTTATTTATTTAGAGAGAGGGTCTTGCTCTTATGCTCAGGCTGGAGGTCAGTGGTGCAATCACAGCTCACTATAACCTTAAACTCCTGGGCTCAAGCCATGCTCCCACCTCAGCCTCCTGAATTGCTGGGATTACGGGTGCATGCCACCACACCTAGCAAATCTCCCGCCTTGGCCTCCAAAAAGTGCTGTGATTACAGGCCAGACTTACATGCCCAACCTCAGTTTCTTTATCTCTAAATTGGTTGGTTTTTTTTTTAATGGAGTTTCACTCTTGTTGCCCAAGTTGGAGTGCAGTGGCATGATCTTGGCTCACTGCAATCTCTCCCTCCTAGGTTCAAGTGATTCTCTTGCCTCAGCCTCCCAAGTAGCTGGGATTACAGGTGCCCACCACCATGCCTGGTTAATTTTGTGTATTTTTAGAAGAGATGGGGTTTCACCATGTTGGCCAGGCTGGTCTCAAACTCCTGACCTCAGGTGATCCGCCTCAGCCGCCCAAAGTGCTGGGATTACAGGTGTGAGCCACTGCCAGGCCTAAATTGGGTATACTAATAGTACACCTCCCCTAGGGCTGTTTAAGCTTTCAATGAGTTGCTATCTGTAATGATCTCTAGCAATGCTTCTCACATAGTGACCACTTAGATTTGTAGAATACAGGTTCAGCTGCTGTAACAAAGAGTCCCAAATTCATTATGGCTGAAACAAGATAGAATTTATTCCTCCCTCACCTGCAGTCCAGGCAGAAGCCACCAGGGATGACGTGGCAGCCCATAGTTGAGATGTCAGGGACACAGGTTTCTTCTGTCTTGTTGCCATCCCAACTCTAGACCGTTGCCCTTTCCTTCATGGTGCAAATGGCTTTCAACCACATCAGCTTTCCAAAATCACATTTCATACCCTGTTTGTCAAGAACTTAGTCACGCGGTCACAAGGCTACAAGGGTACCTGGTAAATATAGTCCATAGGAGAGCGGCTGTGTGCCCAGCTAAAAGTTACATTCCTGGTCGGACACAGTGGTTCATGCCTGTAACCCCAGCACTTTGGGAAGCCAAAGCGGGAGGATCCCTTAAGCCCAGGAGTTCCAGATCAGCCTGGGCAACATGGCAAGACCCCGTTTCTACTAAAAATACAAAAATTGGCAGGGCTGTGGTGACTCACGCCTGTAATCCCAGCACTTTGGGAGGTCAAAGTGGGTGGATCACTTGAGGTCAGGAGTTTGAGACCAGCTGACCAAAATGGTGAAACTCCGTCTCTACTAAATTAGCTGGGCATGGTGGCACACATCTTTAATCCCAGGGACTTGGGAGGCTGAGGCAGAAGAATCACTTGAACCGGGGGGCGGAGGTTGCAGTGAGCCAAGATCACACCATTGCACTCTAGCCTGGGCAACAAGAGCAAAACTCCATCTCAAAAAATAAACTAATTAATTACAAATAAATAAATAAAAATACAAAAATTAGCCAAGCATGGTGGCATGCACCTGTGTCCCAGCTACTCAGGAGGCTGAGGAGAGAGGATTTCTTGAGCCCAGGAGTTGGGGGCTGCAGTGAGCTATGATTGCACCAGTGCCCTCCAGCCTGGGTGACAGAGTGAGACCCTGTCTCAAAAACAGTTATGTGACTATATAAGAAAGAAAAGCAGATATTGAGGAATAGCTACCAGGCTCTGCCATGGTGCTCGGTAAACGTTGGTTGCTATGATTATTCTTATTATTATTTGGCTCTCCTCACTCTACTCACTTGCTATCCCCTGATGTTCACAGGTATATAAATAGGTTCCGCCAGGCTCAGCCCACCAGTCGAGAGGAGCGCCAGCCTGCAGGCCCAACCCCAGCTGACTTTTGGTGGCTGCGGTCTGACTTTCCAGACCCTAGCAGTCAAAGTGCAGCAGGTACCTCCTTCAGTGCCATCCACCACCCGCACCCCTAAACCTTTGCTGATCAATGCCCCCAGCAGCCACTCCTCCTGGCCCTCATACCCTTAACTGGGGCTTCTCAGCAGGAGCCAACAAACCAGAAGGAAGACCCCATACAGCTGTCCCTACTGTGGCCAAGGCGACCAGTGCATCCCACGCTGTGGCTCCGCTTCAGGAAATAAAGCAGGTGACATCCCCATTCACTCCCTCCCTTGTGTGCCTGAACTGACAGCACCAGCCCTGGGATAGAATTAGATCAGGAGCAGCGGCTCACACCTGTAATCCCAGCACTTTGGAAGGCCAAGGTGAGAGGATTGCTTGAGGCCAGGAGTTCAAGACCAGCTTGGGCGACATGGTGAGATTCTGCCTCTACTTAAAAAAAAAAATTAAAATAAAAGAGCCAGGTGTGGTGGTATGTACCTATAATTCCAGCTACTTGAGAGCCTGAGGCTGGAGGATGGCTTGAGCCTAGGAGTTCAAGGCTGCTGTGAGCTGTGATTGTGCCACTGCACTCCAGCCTGGGCAATAGAGCAAGACCATGTCTCTATTTAAAAAAAAAAAAAAAAAGAGGCTGGGCATGGTGGCTCACGCCTGTAATCCCAGCACTTTGGGAGGCCGAGGCAGGCAGATCACGGGGTCAGGAGTTCAGGACTAGCCTGACCAACATGGTGAAACCCCGTCTCTACTAAAAATACAAAAATCAGCCGGGCATGGTGGTGCGCACCTGTGATCCCAGCTACTTAGGAGGCTGGGACAGGAGAATCACTTGAACCGGGAAGCGGAGGTTGTGGTGAGCTGAGATATAACGCCAGTGCACTCCAGCCTGGTGACAGAGCAAGACTCTGTGTCAAAAAAAAAATAAAAAATAAAAAGAATTAGAGCTGATCCTCATTTCAAGGAAGCTAAAACAGAAAAGGAGGATTTGCTGGCTAATGTAATTGAGAAATCCAAAAGTAGATGTTTCCAGAAATGCCTGGATCCAGGTGTTTGAATAATGTTGGGAGAGACCCAACTCTCTCTAGGCTCATGCTTTTTTTTTTTTTTTTTAAGAGACAGAGTCTTGCTCTGTCACTCAGGCTGGGGTACAGTGGCGCCATCTCGGCTCACTGCAGCCTCTGCCTCTTGGGTTCAAGCAATTCTCCTGCCTCAGCCTCCCAAGTAGCTAGGACTATAGGTGCACACCACCACACCCAGCTAATTTTTTTGTATTTTTTTAGTAGAGATGGGATTTCACCATGATACCCAGGCTGGTCTCGAACTCCTGAGCTCAGGCAGTCCGCCCGCCTCAGCCTCCTAAAGTGCTAGGGTTACAGGTGTGAACCACCAAGCCTGGCCTTTTTTTTTTTTTTTTTTAATTAGATAAGGTCTTACTCTTAGGCTGGAGTGCAGTGGCACAGTCATGGCTCACTGCAGCCTTGAACTCCTTGCAACCTTTGCCTCCTGAGTACCTGGGACTACAGGCATGCGCCACCATGCCCAGTTAATTTTTTGGTTTTTTTTGTGGAGATGGGATCTTACTTTGTTGTCCAGGCTGGTTTCGAACTCCTGGGCTCAAGCAATCCTCCTGCCTTGGCCTCCTAAAGTGCTGGGATTGCAGGTGTGAACCACTGCACTCAACCTTTTTTTTTTTTCTTCTTCTTCTTCTTTTTTATTAGACAGGATCTTACTCTGTCACCCAGCCTGGAGTGCAGTGGCACAATCATGGCTCACTGCAGACTTGAACTCCTTGAACTCTTTGCAACCTTCACCTCCTGAGTACCTGGGACTACAGGCATGCGCCACTGTGCCCAGCTAATTTTCTGTGTTTTTTGTTTTTTTTTTTTGGTAGAGATGGGATTTTACTTTGTTGTCCAGGCTGGTCTCGAATTCCTGGGCTCAAGCAATCCTCCTGCCTCGGCCTCCTAAAGTGCTGGGATTGCAGGCCTGAGCCACCACGCCCACCTCTGTGCTCCTCTTTTTTGGGCTCAGTCCCAGGCGGGCTTTCCCCTCATGGTAGCCAGGATGGCCCTCGGGGTCTCTAGGCTCCCACGGTCCCAGCTCCATGACTCCAGTGGAAAGTGGGGGCTTTTCTAATTGCTCCATCCAAAGCCCCAGGGCTCACTGTGATTCACTCATCCTTGAGCCAACCACTGTGAACCAGAGGAGAGAATGCTCTTATGAGTCAGCTCTGATCTGGGAGGTGGGATCCATCCTACTCCAACCATGATTTGTCCATGAAAGGTGCTGATCCGCCGGGCTTGGTGGCTCACGCCTGTAATCCCAGCACTTTGGGAGGCTGAGGTGGGTGGATCACCTGAGGTCGGGAGTTCGAGACCAGCCTGACCAACATGGAGAAGCCCCGTCTCTACTAAAAATACAAAATTAGCCGAGCATGGTGGCACATGCCTGTAATCCCAGGTACTTGGGAGGCTGAGGCAGGAGAATTGCTTGAACCCAGGAGGTGGAGGTTGCTGTGAGCCGAGATCATGCCATTGCACTCCAGCCTGGGCAACAAGCGAAACTCCATGCCCCCCGCCCCCCAAAAAAGGTGCTAATCCAAAGGGCAAAACTGGGTCTGTCCTCCCTGAGGAGGAGGAGCAGATCCTAAGCTGACACGTGAGGTTACCAAGGGTGACACAGCCTGCATTCCAGGCCCTCTGTTTAGAACGCTTTTCCCAGCAGCCTTTGGGTTGGGGCTGGCGTCTGACCCTGTCACCCTGCAGAATCTCAACACATGGAATTCATCCCTGCTGGACCTGGAGACGCTGAGCCTACAGAGCAGAGCTGCCAGGCTGCTCAAACGCAGGTGCCTGTACCCCCGCCCCCATCACCCTTCCCACTGCAGCTCCACATGGCCCAGACCTCCATTGCCTCACTCCTGCCTTCTCCCTGCAGCAAAGCCTCCATCTCCTCCTCCTCCCTCAGCCCCAGCGATGCCAGCACTTCCTCATTCCCCACCCGTTCCGATGGCCTCTCTCCCCTCTCGGAGACCTTCATCCCTGACTCCAGCAAGGGCCCTGACCCCAGGGCACCCGGTAAGGGCTGAGAGGCAAGGACTGAGGGAAGCCTGGGTGCAAATCCGAGCTCTGCCACTGACCAGCTATGGGACTTTGGGCCTCTCTGGGCCTTGTTTCTCCAGCTGTAAAACAGGGATAAAAAGGCCAGGTGCAGTGGCTCAGGTGTGGAGGCTGAGGCGTGAGGATTGCCTGAGCTCAGGAGTTTGAGACCAGCCTGACCAATGTGGCGAAACCCAGTCTCTACTAAAAATACAAAAATTAGCCGTGCGTGGTACATAGTGGTGCTTGGTGGTGCATGCCTGTAGTCTCAGCTACTCAGGAGGCTGAGGCAGGAGAGAATCACTTGAACCCAGGAGGCTGAGATTGCAGTGAGCTGAGATTGTGCCATTGCATTCCAGCCTGGGTGACAGAGAGAGACTCTGTCTCAAAAGTAAAATAAATAAATAAATAAATAAATGGTGCCATCACAGTGTAATTGCTGTGCTCAAGCAATCCTACAACCTCAGCCTCCCGAATAGCTGGGACTACAGGCATGCACCACTATGCCCAGCTAATTGTTTTTTTTTTTCATTTGTTGAGATGGGGGTCTCACTGTGTTGCTCAGGCTGATCTTGAACTCCTGGGCTCAACCATCCCCCCCACCCCCTCGGCTTCCCAAAGCACTAGGATTACAAGAATGAGCCCAGCTGGTTTTGAATAGGGAAGCCAGGGAAGGTGACCAAGATCTGATGGATGTGAGAGAATGCACCGTGCGATAATTGAGGGAAGAGCATTCCAGGCAGACGGAGCCACAGGTGTAAAAGACAAAGCCTTCGCCTTTTACCAGGAGAGAGGTGCAGCTAAGGGAGGGTTCCTAAGCACGAAGGGCCTGGTCTGACTCGGGTATTCACAGGCTCCCTCTGGCTGAGAGTAGGGAACAGATTTGGAGGAGAGTAGAGAGGCCAGGGAGGTTGCTTGAGAGTCCAGGTTGGGTGAGTGGGGCTGGAGCAGGGCGAGGGCTATAGAGGGTGGGGGAGTGGGTGGATTCTGGGGAATATGTCTTCTGGTCACTGCTGTAACTCCAATGTCCAGAACAGCTCAATAAATATTTGTTGAATGAGACCAGGCGCTGTGACTCACACCTGTAATCCCAGCACTTTGGGAGGCCCATGTGGGACGATGATGGCTTGAGCCCAGGAGTTTGAGACCAGCTTGGGCAACAAAGCAAGACCCCGTCTCTACAAAACAATAAAAATTACCCCGGTGTGGTGGCGCATGCCTTTAGTCCCAGCTACTCAGGAGGTTAAGGCAGGAGGATTGCCTGAGCCCAGGAGGTCGAGACTGCAGTGATCTCACCACTGCCCTCCAGCCTGGGTGACAGAACAAGACTCTCTCTCTATATATATAACAAAGACTTGAATGATGACAGGTGGAGAAGCCCAGGAGTGCTCTGCTCCCCTGACTTTGACCCCTTCCCTTCTTCCCACCCTAGAGAGGAGCTGGGACGGTATCGGGAGAGCCTATCTGAGTAACCCCCTGCACAGTTGGAGGGCGTGTGTGCAGGCTGTCATGGGGTTGCTGATCTCCCTGGCCCCTGCCTCACGCTGTCCTCTCTACCTCCCATCCCCTATAGCATCCCCGGCACCAGCCCAGGCCCAGATCCCCACCCCTGCTCCAGCCCCAGCCTCCTCCCAAGCACCTCTTCGGCCAGAGGATGACATTCTGTACCAGTGGCGGCAGCGGCGGAAGCTTGAACAGGCTCAGGGAAGCAAGGGTGACAGAGCTTGGGTGCCACCTCTGACCCCTGCCCTTCGCACTCTGGTGAGTTGAGGGAGGGAGAAGCCTGGTGGGAGCTGGAGGAGGGGCTGGATCTGAGGGGGACTGAGGACCCTCCACCCTCTCTAGAGAGGGTCTCAGATCTCTCTTATCTGTCTACAGACCTCTCCTGCTCCAGTGGAGACCCTCGGTTCTCTGGGGACACAGCCTAACCATGTCCCACTGTGGAGCAGTGTGGCCGGACCTGGTCCACCAGAGGCCTTCTATATGGAGAGACCTCCTTTTCCCTCAATGTCCTCTCCACACATCTTTTGGGCCCCCAGCCCCCACAGGTTCTTCTGCACCCCACAGTCTGGGCCTTGGGTATCCCTTGGGGCTGTTCCTCCCACGCAGTCGGCCTCCACCCTAGCACATCTGGGCTCCACCCTCATGCCCCCAGCTCCCCTGGCCTCCACCCTTGCACCCCCGGCCTCCACCCCGGCTCCCCCGGCCTCCACCCCGGCTCCCCCAGCCTCCACCCCGGCTCCCCCAGCCTCCACCCCTGCACCTCCAGCCTCCACCCTCGCATCCCCAGCTGTTCCCCAGGGCTTGCCCATCCCTGAGCCAAGCAGCTGTGCCCAGCCTAAGAGCCTGAGGTCCACGTCTCGGAGGAGCAGAGCCCCTCGCCGAGAGGCTGCCGAGGGAGTCATTGCAGCTGGCCAAGGACCTGGCCCTCAGCTCAGGGGTGTCCTGGGCCAGGTAGTGGCAGCTCGGCTGTTCCCTGACAGCCTGGAGGACGCTCCTTCTCACTTCGAGGGCCCGCCTCCACCTGAGGCTGTATCTCTGAAAGTCAAGGCCACACAACCCCAAACCAAGGCCACTCCCCCTCCATCTGAATCCCGGTGTCGGGCCAAGGCCGAGTCTCGGAAAGCCAAGGCCTTGCCGCCAGCAGCGGGGTCAGTGATCTGGAAGAGCGAAGCCACTCCTTCCTCTGGATCCTGCCGGCAGCCCGAGGTCGCACCCTCTCCAGCTGAGCAGGCATCCACAGTCAAGGCCTCGCCGCCTGCCTTCCAGGTGGGGTCTCCGGAGGCCCTGGCCCCGCCCCCTCCCTCTGCTGACCACGCCCCCTCGGAGGCCCTGCTCTCCCAGGCCGCCCGGCTGCTGCAGGCTGCAGAAGGTGATGTCCGCTCCCTCCCGGATGTAGGTGGTGGGCCAGCCCCCTAAGAGACCAGCTCCTTGGAGCTCATTCTTTCCTCCCTCCACCAGACTCCGACGGCAGCGAATTCCAGGACGATCCCGTGCTGCAGGTGCTAAGAGCCCAGAGGGCAGAGCTGAGACGGCAGAAAAGGTGACTGATCCTCCATCCCCAGAGTCTATGACACTGGGCCCCCGAGTCCTCTGAGACCCGGTTAGGCACCCAGCCCTCCTCATCCCCTGTTCCAGCACTCCGTCCACAGCCCCAGATCCTAAGCCTGAGCACATATCCCAGCCTCTGCTCTCCCGGCCTTTCTCCAGGGAAGCGGATGCCCGATTATCGTTCCTGTTGGACCAGGCCAAAGACCCGGGATCTTGCTCCCCTCCAGCCAGGTCGCCCCCCAGGTCCCCAAGGAGGCTGCTACGAAGGGAAGGAGCTTCCCTGGAGGCCAGACGACTTTGAATTGTACATAGAGATTCTATTTTACGCAGCGAGGTTTTTGTTTGTTTGTTTGTTTTTGTTTTTACACGGTTACTGGTTATCTGTGAGAAAGGAGTTGTTTGGAAAGGCCAAGGGGTCGTGCCAATTTAAGGAAATGCCCCCCACCCTCCTCCGCCCCGTGGCTCTGCCCTGCACCCCCCTTTCCTGACCATGGAAACAAGATCTCCTTTCTGGTTATATCTTCCTTGGGGCAGAGGGGGTTTCAGACAAGACTTCTGGCAAGACTGGGGACCCACCTTATCTGACTTCACTCAGGAACCCTGGCTCAAATGGGACCAAAGGACTGTCCTCTGGGGAAGAAGCTACTAGGGTCATTGGAGTGTTGGATGATGGTCAGTCTGTAGCCCACACCTGCTTGAGCAGCAGCAGCGTCTGATGCAGCTGACCCCTCCCTCCTTGAAGCACTTTCCCTCCCGGCTTCCAGCACTTCTCTCTGCACCTCTCTGGTCAGGCCTCATCACTAGCCCAGCATGTCAACTTTGGCATGACCCAGGGCCATAGCGTTGACATCTCTATCTACACCCACCCACAGGTGCTCTTGTCTAGCTTAATGACACTAAACCCCATCTGTATTCTGATAATCCTCAAATATCTATCTCTAATCTAGACCTGGCCCCGAAACCTTGGGCTCCTACCTCATCACCATTTCTACCCAAGCGTTTAAAAGACATCTCAAATTCCATAGGTCCTAAATGTTTCCAATCTTTCCCCCTAAGCATGCTGCTCCCCAACTTTCTTCAGCTCTGTCCTTTGCTGCTCAGACCAAAAACCTTAGAGTTGTCTTTGACTTCTGTCTTTCCCTTCCACCCACAGTTAACCAGCAAATCCTGCCATCTCCACCATTGTTTTATTTTATTTTATTTTATTTTTTGAGATGGAGTTTCACTCTTGTTGCCCAGGCTGTAGTGCAATGGCGTGACCTCGGCTCACTGCAACCTCCACCTCCCGGGTTCAAGCGATTCTCCTGCCTCAGCCTTCTGAGTAGCTCGGATTACAGGCGCCTGCCACCACACCTGGCCAATTTTTTTGTTTTGTTTTGTTTTGTTTGAGACAGAGTCTCGCTCTGTCACCCAGGCTGCAGTGCAGTGGCCGGATCTCAGCTCACTACAAGCTCCGCCTCCCGGGTTTACGCCATTCTTCTGCCTCAGCCTCCCCAGTAGCTGGGACTACAGGCGCCCGCCACCTCGCCCGGCTAGTTTTGTTTTTTTTTAAGTAAAGATGGGGTTTCACCGTGTTAGCCAGGATGGTCTCGATCTCACGACCTCGTGATCCGCCCATCTCAGCCTCCCAAAGTGCTGGGATTACAGGCTTGAGCCACTGCGCCCGGCCAATGCAGCTTAACTTCTAAAGTTCAGTTAGAAAAGGTGATTTCTCAGCTGGGCATGGTAGCTCGCACCTGTAATCCCAGAATTTTGGGAGGCTCAGATGGACAGATTACTTGAGGTCAGGAGTTCGAGACCAGCCTGGCCAACGTGGTGAAATGTCTCAACTAAAAGTACAAAAATTAGCCAGGCATTGGTGGTGGGTGCCTGTAATCCCAGCTACTCAGGAGGCTGAGGCAGGAAAATTGCTTGAACTCAGGAGGCAGAGGTTGCAGTGAGCCGAGATCATGCCATTACACTCCAGCCTGGGTGACAGAGTGAGACTCCATCTCAAAAAAAAAAAAAGATAATTTCTCTTTCTCTCTTTCTCTCTCTCTCTGACACTTGCTTTAGAGGGCCACATTAAAAAAAAACTAGTTGCCATGCTGGGAAGAGGTTTGGGTTACACAGGTGTATGCACTTATCAAACTTGGCGAAGTGTGTGAATTTCATTGTATGTAAAGTTTACCTCAAAAGAAAATATTGCATGCCAGTTAAAGATACGCCTGTAATCCCACTTCTTTGGGAGGCCAAGGCGGGGGGATCACTTGAGGCCAGGAGTTTGAGACCACCCTGGGCAACACAGCAAGACGCGTCTCTACAAAAATAAATAAGCAAATAAATAGCCAGGTGTGGTGACACACCATTTGTAGTCCCACTACTGGGGATGGAGAGGGGCACTGAGGCGGGAGGTTTACTTTGAGCCCAGGAGTTCAAGGCTGTATTGTAGTGAACTAAGATCATGCCACTGCCCTCCAGCCTGGGCTACAGAACTAGACCCTGTCTTTAAAAAAAAAGAAAAGAGAAAAAAAGTATGTACACTGAGATATTTAGGGAACAATATACCAATGTTGGCAATTTATTTTGAAATGCATCCAGAGATGAGTTGGGTTGATGGATAAATAGGGTAATAGGTAGATGTGAGATAAAGCAAATATAGCAAAATGTTCATGGTAGGATCTAAGTGGTGGATCTAAGTGATGTCCACTGTAAAATTTTTCAACTTTGCTGTATATTAGAAACTTTTCATAATAAAATGATGGAGAATATATGATTGGGGTTGTTTTGATATCTGCGTTTATAAAAGGGAGGGATGAGATGGATAGCTAGCAACTTCTGTATGTCACAGACATGGTAAATACTTGTTTCCAACCTTTCTTTTTTTTTTGAGATGGAGTCTTGCTCTGTCACCCAGACTGGAGTGCAGTGGTGCAAACTCGGCTCATTGCAACCTCTGCCTCCCGGGTTTAAGCGATTCTCCTGCCTCAGCTTCCCAAGTAGCTGAGATTACAGGTGCATGCCACCACGTGTGGCTAATTTTTTTTTTTTTTTTTTTTTTTTTTTTTTGTATTTTTAGTAGAGACAGGGTTTCACCATGTTGGTCTGGCTGGTCTTGAACTCGACCTCGTGATCCACCTGCCTTGGCCTCACAAAGTGCTGGGATTACAGGTGTGAGCCACCACACCCAGCCAGTTTCTAATATTTCTAAGCAAACCGTACATTTAAATGAAATCAGAGTGGGCACAGTGGCACACGCCTGTAATCCCACCACTTTGGGAGGCCGAGGCGGGCAGATCACTTGAGGTCAGGAGTTAGAGACCAGGCTGGGCCATATAGTAAAACTCTGTCTGTACTAAAAATTAGCCAGGCGTGGTGGTGGGTGCCTGTAGTCCCAGGTACTTGGGAGGCTCAGGCAGGAGAATTGCTTGAACCCGGGAGGCAGAGGCTGCAGTGAGCTGAGATGGTGCCACTGCACTCCAGCCTGGGCAACAGAGTGAGACTCCATCTCAAAAACAAACAAACAGTGTAATCGACAAGAAAAATAGCTGTTGAGATATAAGGAGAAATGAAAGATGTTACAGTAGCAGAACCTGATCTAGCTGGGTCACTAGTGGAGTCTAGAAGCATTCCTGAGGAACTTACACGGAAGCTGATAGAAATTATCTAGTTAACAAAGGGCTGTCCTAATTACTCTTATTGGATAACCGCTCCCAAAACTTAGTGACATAAAACAATTATTTTATTATGCTCATGGATTCTGGGAGTCAGAGGTTTGGACAGGGCTCAGTTGGAATCAATTTTTGTCTGCTCCATGATGTCTGGGGATTCAACTGGAAAGACTCAAAGGTGACTTGATAGACTTGATGGCTGTGGAGTGGAATCCTCGGGAACTTCTTCCATGGTCTTCTCCCAGTCTGACTGGGACTACTGACTGTAATGCCTATACACAGCTCCATTGGTTTGGGCTTCCTCAAAGCATGGCTGCTTCAGCATAGTCACACTTCGCATATGATGCACCATGGTTCTATAGCTCATTCCAGTGGACAAGAACATTGGTCAAGAAGCTGCATTGCCTTTCATCGCATAGCCTTAGAAATCACTGTGTCACTTCCACTGTTTTCTATTGGTTGAAGCTATCCCAGTCCCACCCAGATTCATAGAAAGCAGTCATAGACTCCGCATCTTGATAAGAAGAGTGTCAGATAATTTGCAGCTGTTTTAAAATCACTGCAGGACCCCATTCTCCATGATATGATTATTACACATTACATGCCGGTATCAAAACATCTCATGTACCCTCTCAATATATATACCTAAATATACCTATTTTGTACCCAGAAAATTAAAAAAATTTTTTAAAAAATCACTGCAGGGGTTGATGGGGAAACACTCCAGACAGAGGTAATATCGTGTGGGAAGTCCCTGTGATGGGAGTGAGGTCAGCAAATTTAGTACATAAGTAACTGCACATTCACCCCTCCCTCAGCACTCCCTTTCACCAGCCCTTGCTTAATTATTCTCCATAGAATGAATCACCAAAAAAATGAATTTTTTTTTTTTTTGAGATGGAGTCTTGCTCTGTCTCCCAGGCTGGAGTGCAGTGGCAAAATCTCGGCTCACTGCAACCTCTGCCGCCTGGGTTCAAACAGTTCTCCTGTCTCAGCCTCCCCAATAGCTGGGATTACAGGCACCTGCCACCACGCCTGGCTAATTTTAATTTTTGATTTTTAGTAGAGATGGGGTTTCACCATATTGGCCAGGCTGGTCTTGAACTCCTGACCTTGTGATCCTCCCGCCTCAGCCTCCCAAAGTGCTGGGGTTACAGGCGTGAGCCACCGCCCCCGGCTTTTTTTTTTTTTTTTTTTTTTTTAGACAGAGTCTCACTCCAACACCCAGGCTGAAGTGCAGTGGCGTGATCTTGGCTGACGGCAACCTCCCGGGTTCAACCAATTCTCTTGCCTCAGCCTCCCAGGTAACTGGGATTACAGGCACACCTGCCACCATGCCTGGCTAATTTTTGTATTTTTAGTAAGAGATGGGGTTTCTCCATGCTGGCCAGGCTGGTGTTAAACTCCTAACCTCAAGTGATCTGCCCGCCTCAGCCTCCCAAAGTGCTGGGATTACAGGTGTGAGCCACCATGCCTGGCCTAATACTCTATGTATTTTTTAATGTTAATTTTGTTCATTGTCTTCTCCCAGTAGCTTTTGAGCTCCAATGTGGGTAGGGTATGTTTTCTTCTGGTTTGGTTATTGGTGTATCTACAAATTGATCAGAGTTTGAGTGAATGAATGAATGAATGAACAGACCAAGACCCTCTGAGGTGAGAATCTTGTCGAGGGCATGACCAAGGA